TGGATTTTTTTTTCACATTCTGTCTCTCACAGTTGAAGTGTACCTCTGGTGCAAATTACTGACCTCTGTCATCATTTTAAGTGGGGGAACTTGCACAATCAGTGGCTGACTAAATACTTTTTTGCCACACTGTATATATAAATATTGTATTATATATGTAATATTATATGTTTAAAGTGTGCCAATTACTCCCTTGTTCAAGTTTTAGCTAATGAGAATTGAGAAGCCTAAATTCAGAAAAATATACGTGGTAATGTAGAAGTCATGGGTTGTATTATAAAGTGGAGGTTGAATGATCAATAAGCAGTATTCCTAATTGTATTAGTATAATAATACATGTAACTCCTGAATGATCCATCATTGTTCAGCATACATTTGATTGAAATTTGTATGAATATATCACCTTAAATAATCCACCCAGTTTCAAATATGACTATATATTGCTCGTCTTTTTCTCGAGATGGACTTTTGTCACACAACTGCATATTCATTGTTGTGTTTTGTTTTCTCTCTTAAAGGCTGCTATTATGGGGGAGTGGTCCTTTCTGTCTGATTTGTTAGACAAGGTGCAGTTTCACTCCACCTTCTTGGGAAAGGTCTGGATGAGTGTTCTTTTTCTCTTCAGGATCTTCATTCTGGCAGCTGGTGTCGATAAAATATGGGGAGACGAACAATCAAACATGAAGTGTAATATCCTAACGCCTGGATGCAAGAATTCTTGCTATGATCACACCTTTCCTTTGTCTCATACACGCTTCTGGGTGCTCCAGATTCTCACTGTTTCCACGCCAACGCTCATCTATCTGGGCCACGTCTTACTAGTGATTCGTAAAGAGAACAAACGGAGAAGACGCCTGGAGGAAAAAAGGAAAAAGCAGGAGATGATTAAAGCCCCCAAGTATTCAAATGAACATGGCAAAGTGCACCTCAAAGGCGCCTTGTTGGTCAGCTACACGTTTCAATTGCTGTTCAAGATTTTGCTTGAAGTAGCATTCATTGTAGGACAGTACTACCTCTATGGCTTCATACTTATGCCAAATAAGGTTTCTTGTTTCAAGGACCCATGTAAGACAGAGGTACACTGCTTCATTAGTCGCTCCACAGAGAAAAGCGTCTTTATTATCTTCATGTTAGCAATGGCTGTGTTTTCTGTCATTTTAAACATTGTGGAGATATTTTACCTGATGATCTCAAAGATAAAGGAGAGGAAAAGAAGGACCAGCAGCTCCATTCCACCAGAGGGATTCAATCTCAACAACCCAAATCCCAATTCAACTGAGAGAGTTACATGGTGTTGAAAGACAGTGAGCTGACGTAAACATTGACATAGGTCACTATCGTTAGTTACAACATCACTCAACATCTTCATTTGAATTTTACATCTCCCACATCGGTCAAATTGTACATAGACAGCCAACGATGTTAAATGCAGAAACTACTGAAAATGAGATGTGCTCGTATTCAAAGTTATAAACTGCCAGTATTAAACGCTCACATACTGATCCATCTATCTTTAAAAGTACTAGTAGTTAGGGGTTATCATGGCTAAGCAAGCACACACCTGACATGTACACTACATTCCCATGTTGCGCATCAATTTTCAACCGGAAAACCAGAAACGTAACCTTCTCTTGAACATGATCTACAAATGTCATTTGCAAAAATGTTGGGATTCTAATATCTGTTATTTGGTCATTTACTTCAACTTTCATCTAACAGCGAAAAACAAAATAAAGTGTCCAAGAGCACCTCAATCATGAACAAAGTTAAACAGGTTCTAGATTATAATTCTCTCTGGATTTTGTGTTGTTCTCTAATTCTCCCGTATTTAACTTGTTGTGTACAGGTACGGGGAAATAATTATAAAAATACACTAAATTCGCTTTTCATATTACAAAAAAAGGACAATTGGTATTACACATAAAGTTCAATATCCTCTTCATACAAACTTCTTATTTTTACAGTCGAAATTATTAAAAGTTCATGACAGGGATGAGAGGGGTCATTAAATGACAAGAGGTGTTTTCAATGTGACAAGTCATCACTGTTATATATTGTTGTTAATGTGTATTACATATACTCAGGAAGAAGCTACATAACTACATGACTGAGCTATAAATATGTGAAGGGAGTGGGAGTAAATGCTCCATTTTGTATATATGTATTCATGTGCTCTAAATAAACCATCAATCAATCAAACACTGAAATGCTATGTGTCGTTGGTCCTGGTATTGGAAATGGTGCACATTTTAAAAATACAAGTCAGCAAAGTTCAGGAGCAGCATACTGTTAGCCAGTTCTGAATCTTGGCTCCCGTGTATGAGCACTGACCCATGTAGTAAGCCTTAATTATACAGTGTTGATTGGATAGCTAAAGGGCGCAATGGCAGAGTAGTCATTCCTCTTATATTTCTTTGCAGTATGCTTGATGATCGGTGTCTGGGTCGCTTACACAGTTTGTCCTTTGTAATTTAACGTCTCGGTGAACCAGTCTGCGTAGTCACATAAACTCCATGCTCATTGTGTGATGATAAATTTTTTGCAGACGTGAACCCAAGTTGATCCTAGCTAACTTGCAGAAAGTATAATCAAGGCCTTATCTCTTGTTGCAGGTGCCTAGTTAAACATTACCAAATATTCTCTGAATAAGATTTTTTTTTTTTAAATTGATTGCAGTTTACATTATATGTTTGAAAATATGTGTTCAAGAACACATATTTTCACATAATAGGCTCAAACAATGCTAACAAAAAGCTGAAAAAATATATACATAATTTTTTAGGTTCACTTAAAACTGAATATTTATAAATAAAGGCCTTTAAGAAAAATATTAACAAAACACATGGATGTGTCTCACATTATGTTTATTTTATTTGCTGTACATAAAGATCTCGGTGAGCAACTCGCTTTTAACAGGTGTTAAACGTGTTACACGTAGGTGTAATACAGAACAAGCAACAAAAAAAAAAAAAAAAAAAGTTGTATTGAGCACGTGTAAGGAAGGATATCTTACTAATATGAACACAGTAGTTTTTCATTGTACAGGAGTAGAAAAAAAAAAGAAAAAAAAAAATCACACTGCTGGTGAAAACTGTGTGACTAGACACTATGCTAAAGAGCTAAACTCAAGTTTATATCCCAGGAAACTTTTCTGTCAAACTTATTCATTTCCTACAACCAGATTATGTTTTCTTCAGGAAAAAAGTTCTTTATCCACAAACGTTGTGATTTCAGACTTTGGCTTTTTTCAAAACCTCTTGGTCCCAGTCAGTGTCAAGAACATCATTATTTAACTCGGCAGACTCAAACAGAGACAATCCTGAGAATAGGCCTTTGGAACCACTACTATTACTATCCTGAGGACTCGTAAAACACTTTCTCTTTAGACTGGCAGTCCTTTGACAGTTAACTGAATCCCTAGTTACCATTTTTACAGTGTTGTTTTCAGTATGACTGAATTCGGTCTGTTTTACTTTGCACTCGGACATTGTTGTACTCGTTGACTTCATCCCTAGTTCACATTTCTTTGCTGGTGTGTAATCTGTTGCTGGGGGTATTGTTTGGCACTTCTTGCCTATGTGGTTGGCGATGTTTAGAATTTTGTGGACTTTTGAATTAGCTCTCAAACAATCAGCATCACCTTTTTTAAGAGTACTATTTTCCATTTTTGTTTGAGCTGTTGTGGGTTCACTTGTCCAGATAGATGAGAATCCTGAGAGTTTAATTTCTGAGCTTGAGGAAGTTATACTGGTCTTCATCTGTTCTGATTGTAATGTAGTTTGATTAGTGATGCAAGCACTTGATTTTGAAAGTGGGGTGGAAGTAAATATATCTCTGTCATCACCAGTGCTGACTCTGGTTCTCTGACACAGGTGTGCGTCATTATGACTAATTGGTTTCTTTGTGTTAACGCTCACTGTCATTTGCTTTTCTGGACTGGCATTATTGTTATGGTTGTCAACTGAAGTTCTCATCTTACTTGGTTTGAACATGAATCTTGACAACTTTCCACGCAAGTCTATGTGTGTTTCAGCTTCGACTGCCATTTTCTCCCTTGGAACAGCGCTGCTCTTCCTACTTTCAGTCAGGTGCAATTTGTCCTCCTTTACATAGCTGTCTTTGTCAGTGGACAGGTTTGTCTCTAGTACATTTTCACTTTCATCCCCAAACACCAGCCTTTCTCTGTGTCCTTTTCCAACCTCTTTGTGAAATCGCTGATGTTTCAGGTCCAGTTGCCCAAAGCCTTTATCTCCCATATTCTTAGAGTCCATTGTGCTTCTAGAAACCTTTTGAAAATGATATCCCAATGGCTCTGGATGTGCTTCATGCTTCTTTCTCTCATATTTCAGTATCTCCTCTTGGCTTTTAGAGATTTCTTCTGTAACGCTTTCATTTTTCTTACCTTGTATGTTTTGTTCTGAAACAGAGGTAATATTTCCAAAAACAACTGGAGCAACGGTCCTTCTCGAAGTCAACTTTTCAGATCGACAGCTTGATTGTCTGGTTACTTTAGACACGTCTGTTCCACTTGAAATAGTTTTTGTATTTTCTTGAGGTGTAGTTATGGGTGAGGTCCTATCATTTGGGGACAGTGACAGAGAGGTGTGGAACCAGTTCGAGTCACTCCTCACTGTATTACCACTTTCCAAATTGCTAGTGTGTGTTTTGGAGTTTGCGTCACTGAGTAGATGCTTCAGTTTAGTAGTTGATGAATCACATTCAGGAGACTCTGATGTCTGGCTTTTTGACCTTAAGAGAAAAACAACCTGCAGTTAAAATGATGATAGCTCCAAACACTCATGTGCACAAAGTTGAATCCATAAATAAACATTTCAAATCTGCTCCCAATTTGAACTCCACTGGCTACATTCATCACAAAGAATCATGTCATTAAGTGTCAAAGAATAATTATCTTATGTGTTTTTGTATACGTTTTATACAAGTAAAGACAGAAAATGAGGCCTAAAAGACTAGATTATCAGTGGACGTCAAATCATTAGGTCATGATTTTGATGTCATGGGGGATTTCTTTGCAGAAAAGAGACAGTTACTAGCAGCACTGCTTATGCATTCAAATGTTGTGTAGCAGGAGGTAATAATCTAACATTGGGATTATCTTTGAAAGTTAACAAATTAAAAAAAAAACAACAACAACAAAAAACAAAACAAAACACCAATTTACTCACCTGGATAGTCTGTCTCTCTCCTTCTTAAGGAACAGTGGGAGGTTCAGTCCTTCGAGCAGTATCTGACACTGAGTTTGATACTGCTCAACAGGGTCAGCAGGAAATGAGGTGAATAAAGTATTCACATTTCCCTGCAGAGCGCCACCCTAAAAGAAGAACGTAATATGCAGTTACAAACTGACACAGCAGCGTGATGACAACACACCACAAAGTGAATGATATTTGGTGAGTTCAAGTGACGAGTGCAATCAACCAGCTGGAAAACTAAGGAGACTAGAAGTGAGAATGTCATCTGTAAACTCATTTTACATTGTGGTCCACATACAGCCCACTTTACTTTTAAGTGGGCCAGAATGCTGAAAATTAGTATATCAAAAAGAAGTGTGACTTCATCACTCATTTACAACAAGTGAATGCTGCTGTAACTTATGAAAGCTCTGTCAGCACTCACTCTTAGATAGTGATAACTTTTCACTCATTTAATTGTTTATCCATTTCTTGATTACTTTGGTGTAGTATGAATAGCTGTGAGAGAAGTCTTTATAAGCACTTCACCAAAATTTATGGAAATACAATTCAAAGTTTATGTCCTCCTCTACATTTTCAGAGATGTCCAGTGGGCCAGATTGGAGTCTTGCCAGACCAATGCTGGCCCCCGGGGTCACCTAGGCAACCAAAGCCTTGAATATCTGCAATTAAAGTGGGAGCTTCAACACAATATACAACGAACAGATTGCTTGCAGTATTGTATACAACTTTAGGCTAAAGCATCAAGTCTCAGCTTCAATGTGAGTAGATTTTCAGCAAGTAAAACTGTTTTAGACACGGTTATGTTAAGATAAACTTAACAGCTGGTTTCATTCAAAAAAAAATTGCACAGACTTTAGTATCCTACCTTTAGTAAACACCGCTGCCAATTATTTTAGTATAATGATCATAGTACATACAAGTGTGTGAAAACGTGTTTGCCCTGACTGAGCATAAATGCCAGGATCAGTACTACAGTCAACCGATAACAACAATTTTTTTCTGGCAAAACTTCTCCTATTTCTCCTAAGAAGTATAAAAGAGGGCTATGGTATCCGACCCTAGAAAACCACAAAATCATTGGTCCAGGTATGTGGATGACACCTGGGTGAAAATCCAATTTCAGGATGTGCCACAATTCACAGATCACACTAAATCAGTGGAAAACCACATCAAATTCACCAGGGAGGATATGAAAAGTTGCTGGTTAGCCTTCTTAGACTGTGAGATCTCCATCAGTAATGGGGGACATTTAAAAGTTGATGTGTACTGTAAACATACACATACGGACAGGGCTGTACGATATGACCAAAATCTCATATCCCAATATAAGACATCTACCGTCCGATAACGATATAAATCACAGAAATGTTACATTTTCTGTAAATTCTGTGAATCTTGGGCAGCTCGACTTTCGTGAAGTGTTTCCAGCTGGGTGTCGTGTACCTGGAGTCGAGTGTTTAACGGATGCATGAAACGATACATTTTTAGACATAAGTTGTAACGGCCGCCGTTTTCCTTGTGAGTATTTATTACACGACGTGCTGCCGGGAAAAGCCTGTTCTAACGTTTGAGTCTAAGGTTTATTTTTTAGCACCTGACAACTTCTTTTTTGCTTCTCATCCGTAAATAATCTGCATACTCTTTCACGTGATTCCGTTTATTTTGAAAAGTCTCAACAGCATCTTGAGCTTTATAGAGATTGACAGACCACGTGACTTTCGCGCATTGCATGCCGGGAACTCGTGGCAAAACAATCCAAGTACCACATCAAATGCAAGCATTTGCAGCACCACAAAACGTTCATTCTCCGGTTCCAATACCTTCTTGCTTTTTCTTTGCCCCCCAAAAAAGGTATGTACAAAACGAAGGAGAACAATGCCGGTCCGTACAAAGACAGACTTGATGAAAAGGCAAAGAAAAGATACGAGGAAAAAAATCAAAGGAGTAAAAGGGTTAGACCCTTACGAGCACACAGAGTGGACAAAATACGTTAGCGTGCTGCCCAACTTTCACCACGCTCATATTTATAATTATACGGTTCTTGGAGTGAGTGCATACACTCATGAAGTTTAGTAACTTCAGGTCACTGCAACAAGCCCAGGTACAGTTTACCGATGGATGGGTACAGGACCTTGAAATGCACCGTGTAGAACAAAAGACCATCGTACGAACAAAGGTAAGTTTACCAGTCTCACAAATCGTCCTCATAAATACACATTTGTTAACCGTTTATTAATAGGACCTTTGAGCTCAACGGTGATTAATTAGTAGTGGAAATAATTTCTGGTTCGCATTACAGAAATGTAGCAGTGACAATAATATTGTATGCTGTAATCGTACTGGGCAATTAGTGATACAAAACAACTGTTTTATCCTGTGAATAAAAGTATACGTTTTTGTCAATGTACCATGGTAATAAATGAAGCGAAATGCAATATTGTGTCAGGACAATTCACAATTTATGCACAATAAACAAAGGAGCATAGCGAGACAATTTCTGTTCAGCGCCAGACTTGCTTGTAACCTAGATCACCAATTATGTTAAGAAAAATGACGTATTATAACTACAACAGAAGACTGACCTTTGTGGGAATGCTTGGAGCAGACTAACCTGTGAGCTGGAGTGTTCTGGGATGTTATATTTTGTCTTTGAATGGCTGCAATCCAGGCCATCCGTCGCCTCTTTGTTACTTCGGAAACATGGCTTGGACAATTTCTCTTCAACATCGTAATCCGATAACAACCGATCTCTTTACCCGTCAGCTTCCCGTGGCTGTCATGCGACCGGCTATTGCAGTTAATAATACAACAGCTTCTTGCCATTTTTGTGTTTCTTTTTATCGCTGTGTAACTGATTTCAATTGAAAGCCTGTGTGCACCAGTACCTCTTGCCACGAGTTCCCAGAATCCTTTGCGGTTTTATCCCTGAATGACGTCACATTTTCAATCTCTATTGTGAAAGGTTTATGTGGAAAATAAACAAGTGGACACGCAATGGTTTTACCGTCCATAGTGTGGTTATATTAAATATAAGAGAAAGAGAGAACTTTAAGAAATTAATATAGCCACTACAGTGACCATCAAAACGATGAAAAAATATTGCCATAAACAGTTTATTTTGCGACACCACAAAACAAATGATAGTGTAAAATTAAACGACAGACATTTTTATATCGTCATCCAATATATATCGTTATATCGAATAGCCCTACATACATATCAGTATTTAAGATTTGACCCTCGTCTTCCACTGGAGCATAAACTTGGAGTCATCAGGACGCTACAACACAGAGCGAACGCCATCCCCACTGACTCAACAGCCAGGGAAGCAGAAGAACATCACATCAAGAAGGCCCTGAGTAAATGTGGTTATCCTAGCTGGACTTTTGTCAAAGCTGGGAAGGCACCTAAAGAAAGCTCAAGCCGATCCAGGAGAGAAGGACAACCGCTGCCTAAGTGAAAACCCGCAGTGATCCCTTCTGTGTCAGGAGTATCGAAACAGTTGAGATGCATTTTTTCTAAACACCGAATCTCCGTGGCTTTTAAACCCGAAAACACGCTGCGCCAAAAATTGGACTACCCCAAGGATCGGGGACACTCCAGTGGACACTCTTTCAATGATGAAGATGTACACATCTTGTACAGGGAGCAGGGAGTTAAGGAGGCCTTTTACGTGAAAAGGGAAAGACCATCTCTGAATTGAGGAGGGGGCCTAAGGGTACACTTTTCATCAGTGGGCTGGTTTCAGTCATTGTGCAAATGTACTGTTTATAAGGTTGGGGAAACCTGCAGTTAGCTAAGACTGAAGAAGTCACTCGAAAGAGTGAAGAAATGTTTTTCCCCATTGAAAACGCTATGTCCAGATGAACAGAATCAACCTTTTGGGATTTCCTGCTAAAATAAATACAATGAATACAAAACCCTTTAAATTGAAAGAGACTCATAGACAGGTTTTAATTTTCAAAGTAACAAATAAAAGCCTTACCTGCATAGAGCACTCCATAACAGAAACAGCAATGACAGCGTCTTCTATGGTAACTGTCTCTCTGTACATGAGCTTGGCATGGGCTGTAAAATTAACAAAACATTTTCTGCCACTGCTGCCGTTCCACTTTTTTCAGATTTGTATATGCAACAAGCTTTATTGTTATTACATATCATCAGCAACTTGACAGTTAACAAAACTTTAGTTTAAAATCATTTTGCTTTTAAATAATCATATGATGAATGTTTAGTAACTAATTAAATATTTGATTAAATAAAAATAAAAAAATCTCCACTTGCTCCTGTGAATGGTCTTTAACCTTCAAGATCTAGTCCTCTAACTGAATCGAATAGATTTTAGAAATCAGTGACAATACCCAGCCCTAAGGCAAAGCATGCTGTGCAAAGACACCCCTGAGACAATCAAGCACATAACAGCAGGGTGCAAGATTCTAGCAGACAGGGCATACGTGGAACGCCATAACAAAGAACATGAACACCTGAGCAGAGTTTGAGAAGTCAGAAGGCCAAAATGGGATACAGTTCCTAGGGTGGTTGAGAAAGGCCAAGCTAAGTCATGTGGACTTCCACATACAAATGGACTGCTACAAACCAAACATACTAGTGATGGACAAGCAGAGGAAGGAGGCTAGAGGGATAGATATAGTTATACTAAAGTGGCAGCAACAACAGGAAGAAAGAACACAAAAACAAAAAACATCTTGTATGCCTTTCGGTGCTGCAAGAGCAGCGTGTAAAATATTATCAGAAGACTCGTTTTAGACCTGACCACAATCAATGACTTGACTTATGAATAAATATGACCAAACTAGTCTGAGGTCAAACTTCTCATCTTACCTTCAGCCAGCCTGCTCAGACTCTCCAATGTGCGAATAGTTGTGCGGGCAGCACTGCTGCCATCACTCCGTCTTTGTAGCTGGTAGTAGCGTGTCAGTATACAGTTGGCATCCTCTGACATCACTGGTTTCAAATGCTTAATCAGGCTGAAATAAGCTTTCATTTTTTCCATAGACCACAGACTCGAACACTGATCAGGTAGTCCTTAAGAAAAAAAGAGAAGGGGCATTTTTACCATGTTCTCCCCATTGAAGGGTATGTGAGAGAACAATAATAATCAATTATTTATAACAACAGACTTTATTGTTTTAGTCATATTTCACTTTCAAACTCAAAAACATGTCTTCTACCTCTGTCCTCCATAATGAAAGAGGAGATGATGTGGTCCCACTCTGCATTTCTGGTATCCAGCAGAACTAAAACCAGGTCAAAACGACTTAGCAATGGACTGGCCAGAGCTACGTTCACAGACAGTGGCTCGTTGGGATCATACTGGCCTTTAGGGTTGGTAGCTGCCAGAATGGTAGTTCTGGTATTCAGTTTACACACCATGCTGCAGAAAGAGAGAGCAGTGGATCACACAGAAAAAAAAAAACGAAAAAACAAAACAAAACAGATGAGTAAACACTTTTTTTTTTTTACTTAAAATGATCCATTTAAATAATCCAGTATGTGGATTAGGAGATTTATTAGTTTATTAGTTTATCCAAGTTCATTTTGTATTAGATTCCCCTTGTGTTTTCTACCCCTGTGTTAAGTTTCCCTTGTCCTTTATGCGTTTCATGTCTGCATGTCTTTTGTCGTGAAATTCATGTTGTCATGTCTGCGTTTCATTATGTTTCCTGTTTTATTTTGAAGAGGTCCTATGTTCTACGTTAAATGGGTTTAGTTTTACTCCTCCCCTGTGACGTCATTATGTTCATGTGTGTCAGCTGTTTCCCCATGTGTTCCCACTTCCCTCATAGCTGTGTGTTATTCTCCCTGTCTTCAATGAGTTTGTTGTTGTTAGTTTCCCAGTTTAGTTTTGTTCTTTGTTTCACCTCCACGCTTGCAATAAAGCTGTGTTTTTGAGTTCACGTTTGCCTCGGTAAGGTTTGCGTTTGGGTCGTTTTCCTGCCTGCACACAGCCGTTTTGTGACAATGTATAAAAAAAAAATGCTGTATAATATTACTGTCAGAGTTTGAGTACAGTATTGTCGTGTGAAATAAGTGTAAATAAAAAAGGAGGGGAAAGGAAAGAGTTGTTAAGATCTCAGTGCTACTTAGGAGATGTTTACAAACTTACAAGGTGAGTAAATGTTTAAACGATACGAAGGAGAGGAATGTAGAAGACTGTAAATGAGACCCATGAGCTGAGCTGTTGTTTGGGAAAGTGGAGTGAGTTGGTCCTGAGGCCCCGTTGATGAGAACCAGAAAAAACAAACCAAACAAAAAAAACTGTCGGCTGGATTAAATGATGTTCTATCCAAACTGGCAGCTCACATGTAGCTCTTCAGCAAAATGAGCCAATAGGATAAAGAAAAGAGAAGATTCTGCTGAATACCAATGAGCATGCCTTTAGTAGACTAGGTCATAAACAAGGTCTTAACAAAATGAGCCACTTGGCACAAGTAGAACAAGAAAAAAAGGAAAACCTGCTAAACACCCATGAGTGGACGAGGTCATAAACACAAAACGAGCCACTGATAACCGTGACTAGATGCCAGAACCTTATGAACATACTTAAAAGTGGACATTGTTAAAGGAGAGTTTGCATAGATATTATAATGACTAAAATTACTTCAGTAGGAGAATTAATTAGTGCCCAATGCAGATTATATTTGGTAGTAGTGTAGAATATTTGAGAACAGAAAAATGAGGTCATTTTTTATAAATCATTAAAATAAACAATACTAAACAAAAAAAAAGTTTCAACAATAGCAAAATCAAAACAATAAGACTCCAATGATAATAAACGACATTATCAAAAGTAAGTAAATATTAATAAGGCAAAGGTCTACAACTGAAACGTCATATTTGGTCAGTCTTAACCTGCTGGTCAGCAATTTTGAATTTAGAGTGTATTCCCCCAAAACCTGCATCTCCTTAGAGACTGTGTCTGCCCCAAAACCAACAAAAAACACTTTGAGAGTCTTTTGCTGATATACGGCATTGAATAAAAAAAATAAAATTAAAAAAAAGTCATTTTAAGAGTATTCCCTGAAACCCCTCTCAGCTGACACTTTGAGTAATCTTTGAGTTGTTTTTGACCAGGATATAGCCTTCAATGTGCATATTAAATGATTTCATCTACTTTCACAATATCTCTAAGTGAGAAACATCCTATCTCAAAGTGATGCTGAAAAACTAGTTCATGCATTTATTATTTTTAGGTAGGACTAATGCATTTTGTTATTAAGAAGATGTCCTAAAACTCTACAACTAAAAACCATCAGTTGATCCAAAATTCTATTTATTTTAATTCAATTCAATGTTATTTATATAGCCCCAAATCACAACTCAAGGCATTTTAAATTGTAAGGTAGATCCTATAATAAGAATGCTGCAGCAAGAGTCCTGACAGGGACTAGAAAGAGAGAGAAGATTTCTCCTGTTTTGGCTTCCCTTCGTTGGCTTCCTGTTAAATCCAGAATTGAATTTGAAATCTTGCTCCTCACATACAAGGACTTAAATAATCAGGCCTCATCTTATCTCAATGACCTGATAGTACCATATCACCCCATTAGAGCACTTTGCTCTCACACTGCAGGCTTACTTGTTGTTCCTAGAGTATTTAAAAGTAGAATGGGAGGCAGAGCCTTCAGTTTTCAGGCCCCTCTTCTATGAAACCAGCTCCCAGTTTGGATTCAGCTAGGGTTAGGGAGAACCTAAACAGGCTCTCTTCCTCCACACACTCCTCATTCATAAAGTGCTTTACAAAACCAAACATTACAGCGAACAGGTGCACTGTTTGAGTGCAGCTAGCCAAACAGCGTAGAGCCACTTGCTGCTAAAGAGACAAAGAATGAAAGTGGACACTCTATCCTTGGTTTCTTAAAATAAAACTCATTGTTGCTGTCAAGGGCAGTACTGGAGTGAGCCCTTTAATCAGATTATTAGTTTTAGTGTCCTTATTTTCCTCTGAGTTGTAATTTCTGTCAGTAGTTAACTAACATAAACTAATGTGTGTCAATTAGCCTCAACCAACCAACCAACCACATGTTCGGTACTGACAGAAGCTGGCGCTAAACATGTTTTTAAAACCTTAAGCACTTATTTCCTAAATCGAGCTTAACAGACAGTGCTATATTTCCATTATGTAAATTAGTTTTTCATGTTCTCTTTAATTCATGATTTGACAGTTGTTTTTCCCCACAGGGCCAGGCAGGTTTCCTGTGATAAATGAAATCATTAAGTTATGTTTGTCTAGTATTAAAATTTGTTTGATGATTGGAAACATTCAAGTGTGACAAAGATGAAAAAACAAAAACAAAGAAAGAAAACCAGGAGGGGGACAAAGAGTTTCCCACAGCACTGTATACGATCGTGGTCATTCTGTGTTTGAAATTCCTAACTTCTGGTGATGTGAATTTATATGTAAATGCATGAGAGTCCTACCCAGCTTTAGCAACACTAATAGATTGTTGCTCCATAGCTTCATGGATGCTGATGCGATCCTGCTCTTTGATGCTGTTGAATTCATCAATGCAGCACAAACCACCATCTGCCAAGACCAGGGCTCCTGCTTCCAGGTGCCAGTCACCTCCATCCTTCACAGCTGCTACTGTCAGTCCTTTGGAAACACATTCACTTTATGAAGTAATACATTGGTATTATATGTAAAAATATATAGTTAATCACATGTCCGAGTCACCCTTCATTTCTTGACATTGCTTCCAACAAGTCAGATTTTATTGTATTTTTTTTTTTTTTTAAATCATCATGAGTGATACTTCTCGGGCCTTTCAAAGTTTTGGGGTAAATTGGATGTGTTTTAGCTCATTTTCAGTCCAGTCCATGTATCAGAGGAATATTTTATTGTTTGTTAAGCCACTTAACACAAAAACATGTAAAGTAATGAATCACTGTTGTGTCTACTCAAAGAAACAACACAGTTTGAAAAGCAAAAAGTAGTATTTTTGCATCAACAAGGTGATTCCAAAAGAGCTGTTAGCCCAAAACCTGGTATATTTTGTATACTTTATTAATCCCCTGTTGGGATATTACTCTCTGCATTTAACCCTCAGTGAAGCCGTGAACAGCCAATCAAGCGCCCAGGGAGCGGTGTGTAGGGATGGTACCTTGCTCAGGGGTACCTCAGGGTAGCCGTTCGGTGGATTTGAACCCCGGACCTTCCAATCACAGAGCGAACTCTACGTACTGAGCTATCTCCACCCCAATATTTCGAAAAGGTTTCAGTGTGTCTTAAACAATGTGAGAAAGGGGACAAGTAGAGGACAAAAGTGGCAGACCTAAAAAACTGCTTACAACAGATGAACAGCATCTGAAAGTTGTTACAAACACACATGACAAAGAAGTCAAGCTATACATGACCATAAATTAAGTTATGTGTAATAATGGGCCCCATCTATGAACTCGGGTTAGGGTTAGCTCATAAAACTACTTTTTACACCTCTGTCTGAAATCTTGCAGGGGAGTATCTGGTCATGGCTGTGTCATGGTGATATTTTGTTTTTTCACCTTCTGGGAAGTGGAATCTTGCAAATACAACACCTTTGTATAGGCCATCAGTTGAGACAGAGCCAGATAATATTGACTATGTGCACGAGACAATGCTAACTTCCTGGTTTGAGACCGGATGTGGGGTTGTGCTTTTCCGGTAGCTTTACTTTGTGGTCAATCGCTACTGCGAAGATATACTCCACAATCATGTCCAAAACTCGAAAACGGAAATATCGCGTTAAGTTACAAAGAGAAGGTGGGAACACTCACCGCTGTTGTGTCATAAAAAATCTAATGATCAATTTTGACGTTTAAAGAGTTTATATCGATCAGTTGTTTACATCACTCAACACAAGCAGAACTGCATCACTGCAGCAGAAGACACATCGTCCACATTCAGAAGCACATCTGTGTATAGTGACTGGTCTTATGATTTAAACAGGCAAATGTTCAGCATTCAAACTACAGGTGAACAATAGTCAAACCAGATGTTTCCCCCGTTATGTCGATATCAGCTAGTCAAGTACACACCTACACAGCATGTTAACAAACCGTGAAAAAAGCCACACAAAAAATGAATGATTGCTGGTAACGGTTTCTATACATTAGTATTTACGAAGGGTATGTTGTGACTTATTTTCAAAATTACAGCGGTCCCTCGCTATAACGCGGTTCACCTTTCACCTCGCTGTTTCACGGATTTTTTAGTGCAAGTTTGCATGCTTGTTTTTTACGTCACATTGTGTCCTGCGTCCTGATCGTTGCAGACGATCTCCTCCGTGACGTCTCTCCTGTACAGTACAGAATCGCTGCATCGATCGCTAGCAGTCTGACTCTGCAGTGCAGTACTATATGTCCACGATGTCCACCAAACGTTTTGCACCGTCAAAAAATAAAATTGGCTACTTGATTTCACCTATCGCTGGTTATTTTTAGAACATAACACCCGCGATAAACGAGGGACAGCTGAGAAATAACACATTTGAATCCATTTTCTCTTTTGCTCTGAGGAGCGGGGAAAAAATATCAACAAGTCGATGAACATCATTTACAGATATATTGGGTAAATGCCCGAGACATCTATAGAAATGTAAATCGCCACTTGATTCATTCATTTGCTTGACTTGTTTTGGACCGTAAACAGGGCGTGAATAGGACACCGGAAACAAAGCTCCCCACAGGAGTTTCCGCACCGGAAGTAGCATATGCTAACGTGCACATAGTCAATTAACTCACAAGTGTTAAGTGACAGGATTGTTTTCTAATCTGACAGATTTTAGCTGGTGCCATGTCTTCCCATTCCTTTTTGCACCTATTTTTTTTCATGTGCTCAATACTTTTCCCTACCTTTCATTTTTCGTTAATACACATTGGTTATGTGCCCAATAATTTTATGCAGCCGATCCCTAGGACTGTGCACCGAAGTTTCAAAGAAAAACAAACTAAGCCAGAACTTTTAAATACCCTGCTGTGCCAGGGGTCTGTGTCTGACATACTCCCTGAAATGAACTGAAAAGACATTTTTAATAAAAAGAATAGTTTCCTTCAAGGTCATATTGTGCCCCTCCCCAGGTTACACAAACTGTTTGGGTGATATCAAATGAATAGATTGAAACCATTGCTTTCTTTTTTAATAGTGGTTAGGATGAGAGAATTGCAGGAAATTATGACCCGACCCAGAGAATATAACCCGAATTTTAAACTTTTTTGGGAGGGCTGGGAACGGACCATGGGGGAACCTCAAGGAGGAAGTCCCATTCTGGGACGTATAAAGAACTACACCTAACCTCTTTGTTTAAAAGAACCCTCAGAGTCTGTGAGATTTTTAGAAGATAACCCTACTCAGGCTGTATGACCCTAAGCCTAACCTTTTTGGGGACCTGATAAAATTTATGACAAACCCTGAAGAGAAATAAGCCTGCTCTGGAATGTTTAAAATCTAAAATTTAACATCTTTATTTAGACAACCCTCAGGCTTTAAAAGACATTTGTGAGACCCCTAGAGGAAGTAACCCTTATTGGGCCACATTAAAACTCTAGGAGATATTGTATTCCTCTAATTCGGTGGGACAGAGGAGAAAAGGAGAAGCTTAGGGATCATAAAGCCTAGTTAAATAAGAGAAACTATAAATGGCACATAAGCAATCCGCTTTCCTTGTTTTTGGGCCTTCCGCTGACCGACAGGGCCAGACCCCTGGTTTTATTAGGGTGAGTGTCTTCCCCCAACCATTTCCTTATGACCGAGATCGCTGTCAATATGGTGTGCATTCATATTGTAAAGCTAGACAGGTGAAGAGAAGTGGTATTGTTTTTTCCGAGGGTGCTTGAATGCATCACAGTGATATCTCCTGGGGGGGGGGGGGTCCCTTTCTACTTGGTTTTTATATTGATTACTTATTTATCATAATTTTAGTGATTTTTTTGTCATATGGATTTTTATTTAGTTATTAATGTTCTTTATTTAGGTATAAATAAGTGAATCTTGGTTTCAGTTCAGTCCTCGGGTTCTCCCCCTTGGTCGGCGACAGTCCTAAGACTCCCTCACGGACCCCACTCCCCTACCCAACTGACTAATTAGTGTCTCAGATTTTGTTTATTCTTTTTTTATATAATTTTTTCCCCTCCTTTTTATTGTTTCATCTTACTCACGTTCCTACTCCGGATGTTACCTGGTATCGGGTTCTCCCCCTTGGTCCGCGACAGTCCTAAGACTCCCTCACGGACCCCACTCCCCTACCCAGTGACTAATTAGTGTCTCTGTTTTAGTTTTAGTTATTTTTATCCCCCCTTTATTTTCCTTTTTTCATATTTATTTTGATATTTTGATTAGTTTTGTTACTGAACAGTCTCATTTTATTCACACAGATGAGATATCTAAGTAACACCCCGAGTAGAATGCATGACAAGGTAGGAGTGACACCACACAGTTTTAGGATTTTTGTTTTTGGTACCTAAGAGGAGCATGTTGCATGGGAGCACAATAGGCGTTCCCATGTGACTTAATGGTAACCTATCCTGGGAGAGGGCCACAGGATTGGGCGTCTCTCAGGAAATGATTTAATCCCTCGTTCTCTCCTGGCCCCAGTAGCATGTATCCCTCTGAGGAAGCAGGAGATCCGCAAAATGTCAGAAACGCGAGGCCAGACCAGTGGGAGAATTTTTTTTTTTTTCCCTTTTAACAGCTCTCCCAATTGACGGGTGCTGGGGACAAATGTTAGCCTGCTCACAGAGTTCAATTTTGGAAAAAGAATTTGTTAAACTGACTTTTTTAGAAAAATCATTAGTGAGGAGTTCTTTTCCACCTGTTGTGATTCCCTGTGGATTTAACTCCACCTGGGAGGTGGCGCTGGGAAGGAACGAGGCATTGGTGTGCGATTTAAACTGTTTGTTCCGAGCTTCTACTGATCAACAGAGTTTGTAAAAAGAAAAATAAAGAAAAATAAAGGGGAAAAAAAGGGGGGGACGCCCGAGATTGGAGAAAGCAATAAGCTGCGACAGGAGTGTCGAGGAACAGGATGGACACACACCAGATGGGAACGCTGCGAGAGCAAGGTAAAAGAAAAACAATGGAGGAATTGAGGAAGCTACAGGAGACAGACACCTGCGCACCGATCTGGATGGGCAGCTCTCTGGGAGAAAATGATAAAGTGAGAATAGGTGGAGGTGGGGAGAAGACGGGGTAGGGTGAGGGGTCGCTGGGTGGATTAGATCGAATGTAGCAGTGGATTTAGATGTGGATAATGATATTCTGCCTGCTTCTCTGTGTTCTCCCTCTGCATGCTCTGTGGGTGCCGCGGGTTATGACCCCCCCCGCGGGCTGCTCCTGCTGCGATGCTCCTTCAGGCCCTTTTTCGTCTCCTCCCGTAGGCGAGCAAATGAACATGGAAGCTCCACCCGTGGAGGACGCGTCCGCAGCGAATCAGCAAAAATGGTTAAAAATCAAAACTATTACTCAAACAGGTGAAGAGGAAGTCGGTGAAATGATAATCGAGGTCCCGCAACAACATGACCAGGCGGCCAATATGAGCAGTGACTCGCTGGACCGCACAGATCCCGACCATTTGAAATTAAATGTAAATTTCCACCTGAGAGAGGACGGCAGGGAAGGTGACGGGTCTGCTGACGATTTTAAAGCCTTAAGGCCAAAAAATGCAAGCGATGGAGCACCTCCAGGTAGATTTGACACGGGACGAGGAGATGACCGGGCGAGGTGTCGGAGCGGGGAATGGCGGGGTCGCGTGGCACACACCTACATACCATCGGGCGCGAGCAAGCCTCAAGTTACAGGATTGGAAAATTAAAGCAAACAAGCCTATGGTGTTGGGGAGAAACTCCACTCCCCCACCAGATTTAACTTGGTCTTCCTCTTCTAATATTTTAAATTTATCAAGACTCTTTACTCCGTCTGCAGCACAAATAAGCTTATTAGAAAAGGGCCTGACTTTCATTCCAGCGCCATAAAAATTTTCACATGAGGAGTTTCGCCGGGACCTACATTGGTACCATAGAAGACCGAAACTACAAGACTTTTTTGAAACCGACAACTTCCACAGGGATCCCTTCGTCCTACCATCTGTGTGGGAACTGGAGTGGGGGGCGTTGAGCGAGTCGCTCAAAGAGCTAATAAAAAAAGAGATATTCGGTTGTTCCACTCGTTAAGGCCGCAGGTGGGGAGGGAGGGTAGTCTTATGGTGGAGGAAGAACGGGCGCTTAGAGAATTAAAAGTTAATCAGAACATCGTGATTAAACCGGCGGATAAAGGCTCAAAAATTTTAATTATGGACAAGCAGCAGTACAGACTGGAAGCCCAGAGACAACTGGGAAATGAGAAATATTACAAATGCATTTCAAATTCAATCCAGCCCGAGGTGCAGCAGCAAATTAGGAGGATTGTCCACTCACTACATCACAAGAGTTATTTCCACAAAACAGCGCAACTATTTCTTAGGTCCTGATGATCCCCACCCACGCTTATCCTATTCTGAGATCCCACCTGGAAGACCTATAGTCTCCGATTGCAGTGGTGCAATACATAACATCTCTCAGTACACTGAGAGCCCTCTCTAATAAACATCCAAGTTATCTTAAGGACACGTATCTTTTTTTTTTTTTAAATTCACAATAGATATAGACAGTCTGTACACTAATATCAATACATAGACAGGACAGAGTCGTAAGTAACATCTTTCAGCGGTACCCGGATGCTGTGCGCCCTGACGCGGCAATTCTCTGGCTTTTGGAGATTTGTCTCGTCAATAATGATTTCCAATTCGACAATAGGTTTCATTTGCAGATGGAAGGAACGGCTATGGGCCAGAGATATGCACCGTCCTACACAAACATATATATGAGCGAGTGGGAGACAGAAAGGCGCTGGCCAAGTGCTCATTACAACCGGTGTTTTATTTGTACTTTATAGATGACATCATAGGCGCATGGGGTCACGGGGAGGATACGTTCCAACAGTTCGTACACATCTTGAACACACATCACCCGTCTATAAAACTTAAGCAGGAGCACAGCGACTCTGAAATCAATTTCTTGGACACCACGGTCTTTTTTGAGGATGAGAAGGATGGCAAGGGGTTGCATGCAAACGTTTATTTAAAACCCACCGACACGCATGCGCTCCTCCATAAATTATCACCCGCCACACACATTTCGGGAAATAGTGAAATCTCAAATATTGAGATTTTACAGAATAAGCAGTAAGGAGGTGGATTTTCGCAATGCTACTTCCATATTGTTTAGAAGTTTGAGGAAGAGGGGGGACTCACGCTCTTTTTTTGAGGAAGATACACAGGGAGACCTCTCGGGACTTCGTACGCCTAACGCATGGACACGGTGATTTTCGGGAGGGGCGGGGTGGCGCAGGAGAGCGAGTTGATGCTCGGCGGATGGATACTGAACTTGGGACTCCTTTTAATTAAAACACCATCGAGGACATAACGGGAGGGGAGAGACTTTTGCCCTTTGTTAGTACTTTCCACAAGAAGTACACGCCATTTCTCAGCAGTATCCACCAAAATCTTTGTGAAATGCGGACCTGGGGGCATGCATTCGAAGCGCGGATGATCAGAGGCTTAAGGAAAAACCAAAGCTTGGGTGACCTTTTGGTTAGAGCTAAATTGGAGGGGAGGGCAAACGAACCACCTGACACATTGTTGCAGTTTTTGGTACAGAAGCACATAAGTAATCTGCACAGTGGAGCCTCTTAGGCGATTAGAGGGAAATTCTCTCTAGAGATAAAAAATGTAATTTATGCCATTCAATGTAACAGGTGTGGGACGATATATGTGGGAGAAACTGCGGTTCATTTGAGAGCGCGGCTGCAACAACATCTATATGCCATTCATGCAGCGGAGTCGCGTACTTTAGTGGCCACCCACTTTAAAGAGCATGCAGTGGGGGCTCTGATTATCATGGGCTTGCAGGAAAATCCGCGATGGTCGGTCGGTCAGCGGAGAAGGATGGAGAGGGGTTGGATAGACAGATTCAACACTTATGCTCCATTGGGCCTGAATGTACCTGCGGGTTGTAAAAACTCTTGTTTCTCTTTGGATCAATCCAATTTTCGAATTGGATTGATCATTTAGGAGCTTCTGCTCCTTAACATGGGCCACCTTCTTTTTATAAGGGATCACAAGTAATTGGACACTGGACTGAAAAAAAATTCCCTTCTTTCATGAGAAAGAAAGAAAGCACTGGTGAACTTCAGTAACGCAAAAAGACCTGGATGTCCACGGAAGACCCATGACTGTGTGAAAAATTGATGACACCCTAAACCTAATACCTGGTTGGGCCACCCTCAGCAACAACACCTTTAAAAAAAAAAAAAAAAAACAGCCCTGTGGAGGAACTTTGGCCAACTCATCTTTGCAGAATTCAGCCACATTGGAAGGTTTTCGCACATGAACCACCTTTTTAAGATCATGCCACAGGATCTCAGTCGGATTCGGGTCAGGACTTTGACTAGGCCACTCCAAAGTCTGCATTTTGTTGTTCTTAAACCATTCAGAGGTGAACTTGCTGGTGTGTTTTGGATCATTCCATTTGTGGATAATGGCTCTCACTGTGGTTCGCTGGAGTCCCTAGGCTTTAGACATGGCTTTATAACTTACTTCATTTCTCACTTATTCCTGAGTTTCCGTGGATCGCAACATGATGTCTGGCTTTTGAGGATATTTTGACCTACTCCACTTTGTCAGGCAGGCTCTATTTAAGTGATTTCTTGATTGAGAACAGCTGTGACAGTAATCAGGCCTGGGTGTGGCTAGAGAAACTGAATTCAGTTTTCCGAGATGTGATACAATATTTTTTTCCCCTTAATAATAAGAAGCGGGATTTTGTGTCTCCTTTGTGTGTGTATATATAGTTTTTTTGTTTGTTTGTTTGGGGTTTTTAAAAAAAGGGAAAAGCAGAACCTACCTGCACTTGTTGAGCCAATTCCAGCTGTAAGTACAGAACGACACATAATCTTGGCAGCATATTTCAGGAACTGAGACTTCCCTGTACCTGGGTCACCAACCAGCAACATATGACACTCGCCTAGAAGGAGCAAATCATGAATACACACATTTCACAGAGGGCCATTTGTAAAACACAAAAAACAACATAGAGGCACTGATTTGTCAGAGTTTACATTCTGTCACAAGACAGTCACAATTTTAATTTTCATGAAGCTATTTAAAGGGCCCGAAAAAGCAACATGGGTCTGTCCTCCTGTGGGCTGACCATCTCTGTGGCCCCTCTTGTGGGTGGTGAGCCCACAGGTGGCCTCAAAATCTCATCATTGCTTTTTGAGGATGATGTGATTCTCTTGACTTCATCAGGTGAGGAACTTCAAGCTCACACTGGAGCAGTATGCAGCCAAGTGTGAAGCGGCGAGAATGAGAGTTAGCAACTCCAAGTCTAAGTTCTCAGGCGGCAAAGGGTGGAGTGCTGATTCCAGGACACGGATGAATTATTGCCCCAAGTGGAGGAGTTCAAGTATCTGTTGTTAACGAGTGAGAGGACAGGGGAGTGCGAGAGTGACAGACTGATTGGAGAGGTGTCTGCAGTGATACGGATGCTATGCCAATCGGTTGTAGACAAGAGAGACCTGAGCATAAAACAAAAGTGGCCCATTTACCAGTCAACCTATGTTCCTACACTCTTGTCGCAAGCTCTGGGGAGTGACCAAAACAATGAGGTTCCAGACACAAGCAGTAGAAATGAGTTTACTGCAAAGCGTAGCGGGGCTCTCCCCTGGAGGTAGGGTGAGGAGCTCGGTCATTCGAGAGGGACTCAAAAGGAGGTGGTTCTTCTGACATCTGACTAGGATACCTCATGGACTTCTCCTAGGTGAAGTATTCTGGTTGTCTTACCAGGAGAAGGCCCAAGGTTTGGAATGTCTCAGTCTCCCCTCAGATGAGCTAGAGGAGGTGGCTGGGGTAAGGGAAGTTTCAGTTTTTCTGCTCCAGCCACGACCAGAACCCAGATGAGCAGCAGAAATTTGATTGATGGTTGGTTCAAAAGAAAATGAACTGCAAAGGGCCAGATTCCACTTCAAAAGGCACAGCTTAGAAATGTTTTTTTTTTTTTGAAGTTTATTTACTGGTTTGTAGGAGTCATTCTTTGCAGATACTTAAGAATATTATGTATTATTTAAAAATTTAAAAGAGAAAAATCGCATACCCCTAATTTTGGTCCCAGAAGAATCTATTCTCTGAACTCCCCCAGCCAAGACCATGGCCACTGCCAGTTTAATTACATACATGCCAAAAACCTGTGGACACAGGCTCAATAAGATATGGTTCCTACCTACAAATAAGAGAGAGGGAAACAAAATAAATGGATATAGAGCAAGATACACAAATATAATAGTCTTACACAGTAAATTATACATACCAGCTATAGGATTATGTTTGTAGCTATTCCAGAATTCTTCAAATTCTTCCTGAGCATCCTTTACAAGCTGTCCAGCAGCAGCCTGCTGGTTGTTTACCTCTATATTGTTAGCTTTGAGGACCAACTCCACATCACAAAGTGCACCATCATAAAAGGTTTTCCAGCGCAGACACATTACTCCATAAACAGTGACATCATCTCCTGGGAGCATACAGTCCAAAAGCCAATACATGAGATTAATTATTAAAATTTTATTTTCACTTCTGATTTTGGCAAAGTAATCATAATACAACTACCTTTGTTGCATCATTTTTCACTACAAACATCTATTAAGAGTTAGAAAACATACATTTCCAGCACTGATGAGGATTTCCAGTGACAAACTTATGTTTGCTTTGCTACTCATTCTAAACTCAACTTGCCTTGAGCCACAAACTGTAAGATATCCGGAGAAGCGTATCTGGACAGTTCTTACACATTAATGTTTCTTACCAGATTTACAACTGTCGACGAGGTCATTCTCCAGAACTACCAGTAAAGAACGAGGAATACTGCCCACTGAAAGTTTCTGCACCTGTTGTAAGATGGGCACAATTCGATAAAAATGACATTTTACGCACTCAGCAAGTGAAGTTTTAACAACATAACTTAACGCTTTAACTATGTTTAGAAATTTTTAAAATCAATACATAAATTAATTAAATAAAATCAAGAAGCTCATGTTTAAAAGCCTAACCTGCTCTTGAATTTTGATCTCCTGGTAATCCCTGCAAGCAGCAGGTTCAGATCCTTCAGACAGACAAGTGAATTTATATGAGTTACAGCTATCGGGGTTAGGGCAGGCTACGGGTGGGACAAACGTGTAGAATTGCTCAAATTCTGCCTGCACTGTGAAAACATGACGACACTTTGTGCACATGTAATCACGCTCATATTCCAGAACCTACGAGAGGAGGAAAAAGACACGGCTGTCAGTAAAACTCAAAGAAACCAAAGTGGATCTGCGTAAGGCTCTGCTCCTTGTCCAAACACCACCTCAAAGTTTACAAAGTGACTTTTTGTGTCTCGTTGAATTTTTAACTTGCATTCAATTTTTTAATCGAATAACTGTTTCAACAGTTAAGCTTAACTGTAGAAGGCTTGTTTGACATTAAGAAACATTTCTCGCTCTCTGGATGTTACACATAACTAATAATGGTCATGAATAAGAATAAAAACTGGAAGTTGTCTGTAGGGAGGTGTGGTTTTGGCTAAGCTGCAGAGGAGGCATGGAGCAGTGGGTTTAGGGTGGGACGTCAGGGGAGGCTAACCCACACAGCTGTTCTCAATCACCTTTTTTTTTTTTTTTTTTTGCCTGTCCCGTTTGGCTCTTTTGCCATCAGAATTGTTGTCTAAAGGCAAAGAAAGATGCCCAACGGATTTACTTTACCAAATTGACCATCCCAGCCTTGCCGTAATGGTCCATTTGATTCACCTTTTATTGTTTATTTTATTTTCACTTACTGAATACGGGACAGACTTGACTGGGGGAAAGAAGGGGAGAAAGAAAGAGGGAAAGAGAAACAGCTGAGAAGAGGGACGGGGGAGAAGGGCAAAAGACAAAAACCAACAGAACGGGCAGAGAAAAAAAAATGCATATATCAATCACCTGGATCACCTGCTGAGAAAGAAAAAAGAAAACAAGCAGAAGAGAACAAGAGTAATAGAATAAACAACATCACAATGATATATGGGAATATGACAGTAAATACTAAATATTAAACATTATTGTGCAGCACATAAGATCAACAGAACACAGTGTGCTTTGAGGTAGGAGCCAAAAAGGGTGTAGTTTGTGGGTGTGACCACCCGTGTGTACACCTGTGAGCATGGACGCGCTTGTTTTTTGTTTTTTAAAAGGTTCCTTCATGTAATGATCTGCTAGAGGGTGTGGGGGGGCCACAGCCCCGTCCTCCAGGGCATGAAGCAGGTATGGAGGAGATCAAAACTCCAGACATCCAGAGGCCCCCAGAACACAAGAGACCAAGGAAGACCAACAGAGGGGCAGCCGCGCCACTGTCCCAGAAAGAGCTGAGGAGAGTCCCAGATGAGGGCTCACTCAGCAGCCGCGGAGCAGAAGCCAGGGGGAGTTGCAGTGACGCGCCCGTGAGCTCCGCCGGCAGCCAGCTGTGCCTGAGTGACCGAGCCCCAGGCCGAGAGGCCGGGGGCACCCCACCTCCGAAGTGGCCCGAGCGAGCCCCAGGCTCCAGGCCCCGATAAGCGGCCGCCAAGGAGTGAGCCGGTGTGTACCTGGACGCCCATCCCCAGACACAAAGAACCACCAACGCACCGATGTCTGAGGGAGTCCGCCACTGGCAGGGGAAGTGGTGGTGGGGGAGATAGGCCTCCAAACCTTGGAGGGCCTGAGATGTCCCCAGAGAGGTGGCGTCTGATACCCAACCTGACATATAGACACAGACATACAGGCACACACAGATACAAACATCCATTCCCACCCTCATGCTCTCATATGCACTTACTCCACACTCAACCAACGTGGAGACAGACATAAAGAGACGCTGTACACACGATCACACTCCCCAAGCGTACTCTACGAAACCGGGTCTAGGTACCCTTGCCCCTGGAGGGGGGAACTGCACCCAGACCCAGGTGGTGTTACCCTTTTCCCTGCGGTGGGGGGAGGCAGACCGCCCCGACTCCGCAGCAGCAGGGAGGCCCCACACTCCAGACCGCAGTCGGACGGCCAACTCCTCCTCCTAGCCCCCCCGCTCCAGCAGGCCGCAGAGAACGGGGGTGTTCTCAATCACCTGATCATTCCTTCCCCATTTCAGTAGGATGCCGGGACCTGACGGGAGGACAGCTGGGAAGTTGTACAAACCAAAAAGTGTGCTGTATGTATAATATCAATCGACTTGCAATGCTGTGTGCTTCGGGTCTTTTTGTCACAATGATGCCGAAACCTAGTCATGGGATGATGGACCGCAACCTATTGGGCTGGTGGAAGTGCTGGCGAAGATGGTGGTGGAGCTAGCCGCTATGCATCAGTAGCAGGCTGCAGTGCATCATCTGCAGAGCAGCACCTGATGGTTCATCTAACCCTTTTCCCCTCTACAGACACCATCCTCCACTCACCGGGAGCCGCTGGGGCAGGAGTGTTGAGTGTGGGGGGGCCAGGACACGTCTGCTGGGAGCGCCCACAGACGTGTGAGATAGATGTTCCATTTTGCTGGCCCTCCAACACCCTCCTTCGGTCTAAGAGGTACGTACAGCATAACGGTAAGGTGCGAAGGGGGTACATGCCAGGCTATGGTGGATATGGGTTGCACGCACACCCTGGTCCACCAAATCCTTGGTGGACACTGACCCCCTGTTAGGGCAGTGTGTGGGGATGCATTCACAACCAGTAATGATGTGTAGTGTCTGCATTGCACTAAGCGGTGACGTGGGGTCATCGAACGCTGACTCTGGCCTGGAGGAGACGGCAGGGCCTTCTTGTGATGCCTCATCAGCTAAAGAAATTCCCTCCATGGAAGATTTCCCACTAAAGCAGTCTTATGATGACACTATATGCTAGGTCTTTGACCAAGTGATAAAAAAATGATGGTCACATGTTGCACCCTGACCTACCCAAAAAAGACGGGTTGTATCAACTGGGTCCTTTCACAAATATTTAATTCAAATATTGACACGATGTGTGGACGTCTAAATCTCTACTCCACTATTAACTGGTGGCTTATATGTATACTGCTCATGTTTTTTGCAGTGTTGGAAGCAGCATTCCATTTAATTGAATAGCACATGTACATATATGAAATGCTGTTACCTTGGCAATACTGGTACGTATTACAGTACCAGTTACAGACAAAAAGTGTCCTACATCTCTAGTCCTAGGAATTGTATCTCTTGTCAGCTCTGGGCACACTGGCAGACCTGGAAACAGGAGAAAAAAAAAGTTATGTGAAGTGACTCAAACAAGCAACAGTGACGAGCAGCAACGCTCGAAAACCCTCAAATGTGGCTGTATTACAACAATTCTGCAAAGATGAGTGGGCCAAAATTCATCTACAGTGGTGTAAAAGACTCATTACCAGTCGACACAAATGCCTGATTGTAGTTGTTGTTGCTAAGGGGGGCCCAACAAGTTATTAGGTTTAGGGAGCAATAACTTTCTCAAACAGGGCCCTTAATGATAAACACAGCCATTTAGAAACTTCACTTTTACATTTGTTTGATGATCTGAAACATTTAAGTGTGACAAACATACAAAAAATAGAGTATCAGTCAAGGCATGTAATACTCTCTACTTTTAAGATTAGGCTTTCCTTTTTTGACAGAGCTTAAAGTCAGGCCTTTATCGAGTGACCTTGGAGCTACTCTTAGTTATGCTGCAATAGGCTTAGGCTCCTGGGGCTTCCCATGATGCACTGAGCATTTCTCCTTCTCACACCCATTTTCACTACTGTGACCCCGAAACGGTCACAGTAGATGGCTGTGTCTCCCTGAGCCTGGTTCCACAGACAAGGGGCCTGAAAGCTGAAGGCTCTAACTTCCATACTGCTTTTAAACTGGACATGAAACGCTACAAGTATAAATGGTAATTTACACCCTGGAGCCCTGCACTGAAAAACTGATACTGATGTAACACTGTCTGTGAAGCTGGATTTAAGAGAGAAATGCTGATAGAACATGTTTAGTGCCATCTTGTGTCAGTACAAAACATGACGTGACCAGCTTGGTTGGTTGTGGTCAATAGACTTTAGTCTCATTTACTTTATGTTAGCCAACTAGTGACAGAGCCGATAACTCAGGTGGCTCCTTATTTTTAGTCTTATTTTCTACTAAGAGGGGGTCAATTTTGTACTACCATTGGCTGTAGCAATGAGTTTTATCTTAGGAAACCAAGGATCTACTGTCCACTTTCACTGCTTGTCTCTTAAGCAGTCAATAGTTCTTTGTTGTTTGGCTAGCTGCACTAAAATGGGAGAATATAGCTGTTAGCCGTAATGTTCAGATTTATAAAACTAGGTACACCATATAGGAGATGCAAAAACTAAGTGCAAGCACATAAACACTAGATCAGGCGTCTCCAACTCCAGTCCTCGAGAGATACTGGCCGGCAGCTTTTATATGCATCCTTGTTCCGACACACCTGAATCAAATGAATGGCTCGTTACCAGGCCTTTACCAAACTTGATGGCATGCTGAAGAGGTAATTCAGCCATTTGATTGATTCAGCTGTGTTGGAGTAGGGATGCATCTAAAAGCTGCAGACAGTAGCTCTCAAGGACTGGAGTTGGACACCCCTGCATTAGATATATACATAATTCCAGTTTTGGTTATTTGGACAGCTTTACTGATATAACTGTGGGGACTTGGACTTTGAGCTTAAGGCAACAACTAACGTACAGCTGCACGCTGAAATCTGGGAACTAAGGTTAAAAACATTTTGAGTGTCATTCTCTAATATATTTTTCTTTGTGACGGCATAACCATGTTTCCAATAGTTGGAATTCTGTTTCCAAGTTGGGATTCTGTGTAAAATTTTGATCTCTGCCAAGAAGGTTATATTTTCAGTACCATTTGCTCCATGTGTGCCTCTGTGAATACAACAGCTCAAAAGATTTTGAATGAATTCGAATAAAACTTTGCAGGAGTACAGAGTGGGGTCATTGCGTTAAAATGTAGCTTGCATTTACCAGCGTCTTCAAGGTCAATTATTAGTCGAAAAAGTACTGTGCCGAATAAAGATTTGAAATAACTGACCTCTCCTTCACAGTCAAACTGATCTAAATGTCAAAGTGATAATAAGTCTATATTGGACTCTCAGATTCTTACTGCCACTGTTTGCATTGACAACATATAAACTATTAGAAAATGATATTTGGGGATTCAAGGTCAAATAGGGTCAAACTGGCAATATTTAGAAAATCATATGAGAATTCTAAATATCACATTATAGTTTTCAACCAAATACATCACATTTGACCTCACCTTTACATTTCAGAAACAAAAGGAACATATACAAACTAAAATTGGAAGTTAATACTCCCCAGAGAGATTGAGCTACCAAGGCAGAGGTTTGTACTCAGAGTGCTTCTTGTTTTTAATATAACATTAACATGAAATATTTGATATTAATATAAACTTTAATTTAAATGCACCTACTAAACTATCAAACTGGGAAATTGTATTGTTATCTTTATTAAAATATACACATCTGATTAAGCAGTCAAACTCTTTATGCAGACAAAGAAAGGCAACTATTCCTAGTTAATTAAAATAACAGTTTATCCAGTTAAATATTTTAAAAATCAGACTGATATAAAGGCTTTTTCTTAGCTTCCCGAAAAATACAATAACAAACTTGGTCACCATCTTTAAAAAACAACAACAACAAAAAAAAAAAAAAAACTGCTTTTGAAACTATGTGCTGCTTTCGTAGAGAGTGACCGTATCTATAGCATAGATTTATAACTCAGTTTATTTAGGCTTGACAGCATTTTGGTTGACATAGACACACAATCCAAATTGAGAGCTGTAACTAGTATAACTGCATGACTAACCTGTGATGCGAGCATGAAGAGTGTGGACCAGTCTCTGGTCTTGTTTTCTTTGCCCTTCATTATGTTTGAGTGAGCCGTCGTCTGTTACCGCTTTGGCTTTTCTGTTTAATACTTTATCAAATATAGCCAGGATATCAGTGGGATATGCATTGAAATAGTCCCCAATCTGTGGGAAGACAGTACAATAACCATGACATTAGTGCAAATCCACATTAAATAATGAAGTGTAAGTATGTCAAAATAATAAATGGAGTGTTTGGATAAGAAATACTTAGAGGCTAAATATTCAAGAAAGAAAAACAATGTTTCAAAATGAACTGCTCACTGGATTCAAATTTAGAAAATTCCTTTTTAATAGTTTAACTGCATCTGTTAAAAATATATAAATAAAGATTTTAAGAAAAATTTTCTTAAAATGCAAAAGTTAAAAAAACCCAAGTACAGACATGTCAGCTAAGCCATAAAATAAGATACTGTTTGTCTTTTTACCAGATGGAGCATCATTGTTGAGAAACAAATCTGATCATGTGGGCCTGATCATTTTGTTAACATATTATTGTTCGTTCTATTAAAGACGAAAGGATGAGATCGCAGGTACGAGTGGCGTAAATGAGATTTCTCTGAGGGTTGGATGGATCCTTTACCGATACGGTGAGGAGTTCAGTCATTGGGGAGGGGCTCAGAGTACAGCCACTGCTCCTCTACATTAAAAGGAGCCACATGAGGCAGTTGCCTCCTGGGTAAGCTGTTCCAGCTGGACATGTCCTACCAGAGGAAGGTAGGACAGGGAGAGGAAGGTTTGGGCTTCCCTGTTTGGCCTGCTGACTTCAAATAAGCAGAAGAAAATGAATAGATGATTTATCGTTTTGTTACTCAAGCTGTCTGCCCTAATCTTAGTATATCACTTTTGCAATTTATTTTAATAATCTGGTGTCAAAAAGCAGCACTCTCCGCCACCCCAAAATAAAAAAAAAATTTGTTTTGTTTTTTAAACTATGCTATCAGTTTTCAATTGATTGCAATATCCTCTAACTATACATAGTAAAATATCTTTGTATAGTCAATTGAAAATGAATTAATTTTAACATATTTAATTTCACTTTGGTCCACTGTAAAACCATATCTCCTTTATTAAGATATGGGATAGTAGCATTTAATGTTTAAATTTATCCAGTTTAAACAGCAATATAATAATTAACTAATAAGTAACCGCTCTGTGCCCTAAGTCCCAAAAGGATTAATCTCTTGTCTCATGTTCGACGGTGTTCCTAGGGATGATTTTTGTGTATAAAAAGATTAATGAACTGAAGAAGACCCCTTTTATATGAGCATTCACAGAGGCTAACTCAGAAAGCCCGGCTTAACAGAAAAAAAAGTATCCCCACCATCAATATACCCTAACTAAGACAAATAAAACTTTGATGTGAAACATTTAAAAGTGACAAATATGCAGAAAAAGAAGAAATCAGGAAGCAAATAGTTTTTCCACATGCCATTTGTTGATGGTATGATGAACTATACTCACAAATAGTGTTTTCTGGCAGTGTTCCTAAGCACATGCTGACAGTGCAGGGCCACCTGATGGCCTAAAGATCACAAGCTTCCAGACTTGTCACACAAAGACTTCTCCTGCTCCTCAGAATTATTTGATATTATGTACTGTATATCAGGAGATATAAAAAGTCTATATTCCATAATTTGTAGACATAGTGTTTGGCAGATGGATGGTGAAACCCTGCCCATGTTTATTTCTGAGAAACATTAGCTCTCCAAGCTCTTTTCAAACCTAATCATGTTGCTGACCTGTTGCTAATGAATCAAATTAGTTGCAAAATGTTTCTATGATTGCTTCACTTTAGTATCATTTACTTTTCCAGCCTTTTCTTCTACAATTCCCAACTTAAAATGTTAAATTTGGTCAGTTTAAACATTTGACATGTTTTCGAGGTGCTTTTGTGAATAAATGTGGGTTTGAGATTTAGAAATCATTGTCTTCTGTGTTATTTAAACTTTACACTCCAATGCCCATAATTTTAGGAACTGGGATTATAATAATACTGTTCTGAGTTTAACCATGACACGTGACTTTTTTTTTCTTTTTTAAACAGACATACAAATCTCAAGGAGCTTACTTTATCTATATCCCAAACACAGAAACCTGTGTTAACATTACCTCCATATTGGCCTCAAACAATGTCATGGCATTAACCACTAGAGGGCGATGAGTGTCTTCATTATCTTCAGTCTCTTCAATGAGTTGGAGAATGTCATTGTGATGATGATCTGTCAGATAGGTTTCAAACACCCGATCAATCAGTGCCTCCTGTTCCGGGCTTATCAACATGATGCAACAATTTGAATCCCTGCAAGAACATAAACAATGAAACTGACGTTTATAAAGACTAATGTTACACACACGTTGTGTGCTGGTCTTAAACATCATTTTAAATATTCCATATCCATGTGCATTCACAGTTAAAGATCTCTCTTTATGCGTGCTCAGCAGTCAAACAAAGATGTTAAGCTGCTGACTAGCTGCACACAAAAGACATGGAATACAAACGTGGACAGGTCTATTGGCAGCAGAGTGGCCCACTCTCAATATTAAAATTAAAATCCCGTAACATTAGAGAATATGATTAGGTTAAACACATAATTGCAACACAGCTATTGCACATTTATAGAAGCCGTGTGGGAGAGAGGAAACAAATACAATTCAAATGCAATACTGCTCTATTAGAAGTTCTCAACTTTGTTCTAACTGCCTAAAACTGCGCGACAAAGCAACAAATAATGTTCCCATGTCTTCCCAGTGCTCATCAGGCAAAGACAGAGATTTTAACTATAGACACTCCTACTGTCTACCCGAGAGTTACAAAAGGCACTTCTTTGTAATTGGATTAGTACACGTCAGTCACATTGATTTCAAACAAAAATACCACTTTACATGTTATCTATTAGCGTAAACACCCTGCATACTAAAAGTTGTATAACAAGTTTCTCCCGCTGATAATTACGTTCATATCCTGTCTCGCTGTAATAATGTAAAGGCTCACATACCGTTTGTCAGACACACGAACATTTTCTAATAAGAAACCCACTTGTACAGCCACAGCGACTTGTGTTGCGCGGGCTTACAGCTGTCTTCTTCTACGTCTAAACTGGCTTCTGCTTCTTCTTCTTGTTTGTAAACGGTTGGCAAACAACGAAAGAGTTTGTCATTGCCGCCAACTGGTATGGAGTGTGTATCGGCATATTCTCATGCAGGAGCTTGGAACGGTGTGTATGGAGGGCTACAAGTGCCAAAAGGATATAAATAAATAATTACACAGTTAATTTAATATTTCATTTATTAATAATGAAGGTAGAAAATAATAATTCATTAAATATTGATTTATTTAATTTGAAACATTAAATAAATTATGTGTTTATTTGTAATTTCCATAAAATATTGACATATTTAGTTCAAACATTTTGACACTCCTGGCGCTGCTGCAGTGTTCATGAATTTCAACCTTGCCCATCAAAGTAACAAGGCGGGGTCAATGCCGATTTGTTTAGTGGGCATTTCTCAATACCCAAAGCTCATTTGGACTTAATGGAACCCAGACTACACAGCAAATCCAGCATGTCCAAATTAACACTGGGATTTGATTTCAACACTATTAAAGTGTCTATATGGGTCCACACCAGAGAGTGTTAATTTAACTCTTTTTGGAGAGTTGGTACGTTAACTCTGATTTAGTGTTAAACACCAAATCTTTCTGGAGTTGATAATTTAACACTTGGTATTAAGAGTTTATATATTAACTCTCAAAGTGTCACGGTCTGCAGAGACAGGCCGTGCGGTGGTGTGTGTAATGGACCCAGGTGCGTACACAAGTGAGCAGACGGGAGTGAGCTTAACAGAAGGCGAGCCTTTAATATGGCTGAAAACAAGGTGTACAAACACAGCAGGGATAGCGTGGCTAAACAGAAACCTAAACTGGGAACAAACTATGGTGAGGCTATGGCTTGGAAGACAACAGACCGGGCATGGAAACACGGAGGGTGGTAACACAGACGACGCGACACAGACTGTAAGAAACACAGAGACTAAATACACATGAGGGATGATCAGGGGAAGTGGCCACACATGGGAACCAGCTGACACACATGAACTTAACGACAGGACAGGAGGAGTGAAACTGAATACACTGACAGTGAATGCAGCCTTCAAATCTCTCTTTT